TCTTTAGTCCTGCCTCAGGTCAAAAAACCAGGCGTACTCACGCGCGAGACATCCTCCACAGTAGGACCTGTCGCTTTTCATTGTAGTATCATCGTGGAAGCTAGGAATGTAGGAGACCTGTAGCATGTGCAGTTAGAATTAGAGTAAACTGATTGCATTAATTTTTTTTCAACTGGCAAATTGAGGAGTTCTTACATTTGACGCTGTTGTCAGTCATGTCACAGACGTTTTGGAAAAATAGAGCAATATTTTCAGAACTTTCAAATGGCTGTGTTACGATTGGTGCCTTTATGCACTTTGCTTGGCTTTTAGATGTCTGCCATCGTATGATCGGAGCATGGCATTAAACAGCACGAAACAACATTATCTCGTAAAAAGGAAAAAGACCAGGTGGGCGCGCCTCATTCATTACGAGCTCCATCTTTCAGGTGATCATGTCTTCCACTTGGGTGCGTTCGTTTATTTTCAATATACCACTGTTCCTTTTTTCCGGCGTTGATGAGGAAAGTGACAATTCCTACATGGCGCTCTAGCCTCAGTTGTGAATGTCAAAAGCCTATTCGCTGTTGATATTGGCGTTGGTTTAAAGAAGGTTTACTTATGGTTGGTTTGTATTCCACAGTCGTGTATACCCTGTGGTTGATTAGCAGTGATGTCCTGGACCAACGGTATCCGGTTAGATCGCACCATGGTTAGATCGTTCCAACAAAAAGTGAGATCACTCCACTCGAAAGTTAGATCGCTCCATTAAAAAAGTTTCTTCGCTACCAACATAAGTTACTTCGCTCCGTATTGTAATGTGCAGTATTACTTAGCTATGATCTTTAAAGTTCATAGGTGATGATGTGTCTTGCGGCGATTCGAGTACATCGTATTCACTCTGTCCTTCAGATTAGCCACTCATATATATATATATATATATATATACAACTAACTGCAGACAGTACTGTTTCGGCCTTCTGGGCCTCATCAGTGCAGCGCTGATGCTAGGATGGAGGTAAAACCATGTAGCCACCCCAAGTGATCTCACATATGTGGGATCATCTAAGCCATGCCAGAGTGCTCAAACTAGAAAAACTAGTGAGCATATATATGGGCCTCATCAGTGCAGCGCTGATGCTAGGATGGAGGTAAAACCATTGCGCAAATGAGTCATCTAAGGCTGACCGTTCAAACTAGCCATATATATATATATATATATATATATATATATATATATATATATATATATATATATATGTAGCCACCTATATATATATATATATATGTAGTGATATAGCATTTCTTTGCTTTCATGTCCAAATTGAGCACTCTACTAGGATGAGTCATTGCTGCTAGCATTATGCATGCTCACTAGTTTTTCTAGTTTGAGCACTCTGGCATGGCTTAGATGATCCCACATATGTGAGAGAGATATATAGGTGGCTACATTTACAGCGATAGTGGAATAAACGATCGTGGTTACACTTCGTGAGTCCTTTACATGATGCTTTATTTGTTCTTTCCGCCTAGCTCGGATTTATTTCAAGCGCGCTAGCAATATTCATCGATTTTTAGGTAAGAAATACACGTCATCTAATGAATTATCAATTTAGGTAGCTTAGTTTTGCTACCTTTACCTCAGTTTTCTTCATGGAGCGAAGTAACATATGTTGGGAGCGAAGTAACTTATTTGATGGAGCAAACTAACTTTCGAGTGGAGCGATCTAACCTTTGGTTGGAGTGATCCAACTGGGAGCGATCTTACTGGGAGTGATCTAACTATGGTGCGATCTAACCGTAATTCGGACCAACTGCTAATAAGTTGTGATCTTTGAAGGGTAAAGGAAGTGAATAGTGCACGCCACTGGCTGAATTAAAAGTCGATAAAATCACATGGTGATAAGAACTCTTCAATTTTGGATTTCCAGGGTTTGATTAAGGTGCGGAAGCGAGTCACCTTAATGGTAATCATTGTCAGTGCTATCTTTGGAATCTGTTGGCTCACAAATGAACTTGTCTTTACCCTCTGGTATGTCGCGTCCTACGACATCGGACACTTCCCTTCAATATCACTATTACGATGATCTTGTTTAATTCTGCTGTCAATCCGTTCGCTTACGCCATGTTAAACCAGCAGTTCAGAGAGAAGATGAATACAGTGATATGCTTTCCTCTTACTGTTTTAGTCAGGCCTCATCCTACTGGTCTTGGAGATTAATCTTTGCAGCCTGTCGAGAACACCAGCCGGAGAATGCAATTCAGCGGCCACACTTAAGGCATGCGCAAATGAGTCAATCTTGGCTGACCGTTCGTCCATTTCTCGTGTAAAATTTAAATAGGAAAACATAAGTAACGACCATTGTGACTCAAGAAACTGTAAAGGGAAATGAAAGTAGAGAACAGGAAAACTTAAGACTTTTCGCATGCAGAGGTTATTTGCTCACGGGTGACTGTTTGTTTTAAACTCATGAAAGTTATAAGCTTTTAAGACACTGTGACTCATTGTGAGACAACTTGGTCCTGGCAGCGTGAAAGAACACCATGGGCTATTACAACGTCTGCACATGCACAGAAGTTTGACCGCTGTGTTGGTGAAAGTAAACGTGCTCCTTTTTACAACACGCTACATTTCTTATTTAAAACATGAATTATGATCACAAAAGCGAACGAATATCGATCGCACACTATTAGTTATGCTATTTATATTTCTACTCGCTAAAATAACTAAAATTCACATAGAACAGTTTTCAATCCAATTTCGAAAAACTAAAATCAAAATAATCAAAACTACCGATCAGAACAAGAAAGGTTAACTCTTTAACTCCCAGACCAAATTTGTAATTCTCCTTACTGTCAACCATACAATTCCTATAATGTTAGTTCAGAGAATTTAGTATTGGATCGACTAATTGTCCCGAAATTGATAGTTTTCTTTATTCTCATCACTTGTCTGGTTGATATTGCATTGATATTGTATGGAGAGATTCTGTCTCAGTTACTCATGGGTGTTAAAGGGTTAACATCATAATTATCCAATGGGACCTCAAAATAAAAAATAGTCAGCTTACTAGAAGCGCGGGAAAACGCGAGTGGCATTGGGTTTAGCTTTATATTTAATTCGTTGAGATAGCGGCACGAGTTTCCAGATGAAAAGCAATCCGGGGTCACTTTCGTCGCTCAATTGAAACCTGCTCTAACTTTGAGCGCGTATATTGTTACTAATCCTCAGCTCTCTATGGATCCATTGTTTTATTTCACCTGCTGAAGACCGAAACAAATCCACATTTCGCCTCTTTTTTTTGTGCAGACTGATAGGATAATATAACCGAAGCTTTTAGGTGCATTATATTGTGTGGATCCCCCAAAAATAAAGCAGTAGAACAATAGTTGATAGACACCCACGCTACCAAGAAATATCTTCCTTAATTGAGGAGAAATTACAAACCTGGGTGTCCTGGAAATGGAAATAATCCCCTAATGTGATCATATTTGCCCACTAAAATTTGTTACATGTAGCAAAATTTATGTCTTTTAATTTTTGTGATGCCTTAGTTGTTTAGCTACTATCAATTATCAATCTCGAATAAGCAGGTTATGCAATGGGAGATTTCTTGGCAACTTAATAAAAACAATATTTGTAAATGAAAAAAAGAAAAGAAAAAGTTTCTCTAATTTTCTAGCCTACAGAGCAGGCCTAATATTGGGAACGAGTGCTCAATGACTTCTAGGTGAAAATCATAGCTGCTGTAGTAATGTGATGTTCGGGTTAAGGCTAAGGAAGGCACGCATTTCGTGTTGGGTGTAACTCAACTGTAGTGATCTCTTTCTTAGATCATGTTGCATTACGTGTGCAATGATGTAATCACTGCGGCCGCCGTCTTTAATTTTCACAGAGTCGAAAAGCTGGAGCGAGAAATAAATCGCACCAACGGGGTGAGCGACGGTCAAAACGATGGAGAGGGGAGGAAGGGGATAATTGTGCGAAAAAATTTCCTTTTAACAGATCCAAATCTCGCCATACGTCAGCATGTGGGGAAGTCCTCAAAATAGTTCATTATTGTTGATTTATGCCCTTACTTTCAATTCCTTAATAATAATGTATGAGTAAAACTGTCAGCTAAGTTTCGTGTTTATTCCCAAGTCTAAGGATCCGCTTTCAGAGCAAAAAATTAACAAACAAATTAAACAAAGTTGAAAATAAATAACAACGAGATAAGCACATCCCTCCTGGTGGAGGTAACTATGAATAAACTGAACTATTGGTTTCATGATGACAAGGCTAAAAGAGAATCATACACAGCACTACAATCTGTTGAGTTTAAAGTTACTTTGGAAAATAGCAACTGCACTAAGTACTCTAAATTCCAGCTCCTTTCCACTCATGTCTACCTAACGTTTCTTGCTTTTTCAATACTTCTTTGTGTACTTCTTGACGTTAATTTATCTGAAAAACCGCGATGAACAGCAACATTTTCTATAAGACATGTAAGAATATATCTATTTATAATAAATCTTAAAAGGACTGATTGAATTATCTCTCATCCTTGGTTGGTCAATAATCGGATAAATTGTGTTATAGTATCCGAAATTTGTCAGAAGAAAGACTGGGCTGTTTATTAAACTTGAGTGACGTGCTTCAGGTGTATATTGCGATTCTTCCCATAATGTTTAAAGCATGCAAAAAAACCTAATTCCCAAGTGAGGCCGGCGGTTTCTGAGAATACAGCAAAAGTGCCTTTAGATACGCTGTTACTAAGATATTACATTAAAGTTTTGTTTTTCCCAGGTGTTAAGAGGATAAGTTGTTTCAAAGATGTTTAAAATGAACTCGTTTATCAGAAGATGACTTGTAAATTAAATATGAGGAGGTCACCATTACGGATAAAGAACAAATTTTCAACAGGTGCAAAAATCTAAAGCTAAAAGTTCATGATGCTGTAATCTTAACGCATCTTCGTTTGCTGCTTCAACGTTAGTTACGGGAGTTTCCATTAAAGAGTCGCAAAGCGTTGCATTAATTAACGGACATAAATCTTCCAAAAGTCGCCGCGCGTCAAATCGTTCCTACTGTCATCACATTCCCATCTGTCATGGCCTGGCCACGTGTACCAATGATTGTAACTCTTAATGAATGCTGCGTGTATATATAGCTCCTTCTGCCCTTCATGTCCCCATTTTCCAACATGATACGCGCCGTTTTCCCTCCCCCATTCTGCGCATCTACTTGCAAGGACTGAGTTATCTCCCTTGAGTTTTTCAAATGAACCACAGGCTTTGGGAAAAACGTCGGTATCACCGGCAAAGAACCTGACTACAGCCTCACCAGAGCTTTTCGCTGCCGTTTTAACATGAAACGTTCGTCCATGTTGCTGTTTATGGCAGTGGAATCTCAGCTGAGTGAAAGATATGCGGGATCTCAACTCTCTCATACCGTCAGGAGAGAGAACCATTTTGTTGCTGCTGTAACGACTGACTCCTGCATATGTGTTTTCAATATTCAAATTGGTGGGGGGCACAGTTCCCCCAGCAATAACGTTATAGATTAGGAGCCAGCCTCCTGCCAAAAATTATAAAAGAAAATGTGAATCGCACTTCTTGGGAGACCAGAAACAAGTTCGTTGTTCTTACAATAAAAAATTGGGGACTTCTAGTTATGCCTTTGCGCCACGGCGCAAAAGGATGGTCTCTCCCTCTACCTACCGGCTTTATCCATTTAAAGAAGACAAGATGGTAACGTGGTTTTGTTTGCTTGTTATAACCTCAGTGGCTCCAGATTGAAACCCTGCTTAACCTCAAGCTGGAGCTTTTCTCTGTATTTCAGAGTCCTAAACAATCCTTCTGGTTTGGCTTTAGCCTTTTGGTACTTTCACTTGAAATGCGGGCCACACCTTCAACTCCTCCCCTAAAACAGATGTTTTTTTTTGTCCGTAGCATTCTTGGAATGTTTTTTCTGTATTTGAATATTTTGCAGCAATTTTTTTACTCATGTTCAAACAGCTTTGCAGCCTTGCTCTTCTATGCACAGCCAAAATTACAGGAACGAGTTATTTACAATGTTTACCTCCATCAGTTGTCATGTCACAAAATACTTTTAAAGTCGATCCAGTACTCAAAAAGTAACCTGAGTCCCGGATGTCCTTACAGGAATGACCAGGCTGATTGAAATATAAGCCTCTGGTAGCTGAAAAGGAAATGAGCTTTAATCTTAATGGGTTTATTGATCTTCACACGTACACCGGTTAAGATGTTATGAATAGGAGAAAAAGCTACACGCAAACTTAAACATGACTGTCCGCATTTATCTTCAGAAATGCGTTTTAAAAAGAGTCCCCAATTGAAAATTTACACTATCCTCATAGCACTTAATAATCATGTGTTTTGTTTGGCAACGTGTAAAGTAGAACTTCTCTAGAACAGTCTCACCACTTACGTGTTTCACAATGTTTTCCTTTGTATCCTGGATGACACTGACCGCTTTTAGTTGTTTGTTTTCGCCCGCGGGAAACATCCATGCAGGAGGCCTGATTAGTAAAACAGAAAAGTAAACTTTTTTCTTCCTGTGCTGCCATCGATCGTTGTTCAGAGCAAACAAAGCTTGTTTTCTCGTCATCAGTATTCAGACGCTTAATATCCGTTTTCAAAAAGGAAACTTGACGTTGCCCTTACACTAATTTCAACACTCAGAACACGCTATACAAGCAGAAAAGAAACCTTTTGGCCAAAAGATGAAGATAGCTTGGAGAAACGTTTGCCCGAGACTTTTAAGTGCCTGGTGTTCCGTTTACGAAGTGAACACCTGCTTATAACCCAGTAACAGCTGATTCTATACGGCAGTAGTTCCGAAACATTGTTCTTGGCAGTGAATAAGATAAGAAAGTTATCAACAAATCTGCTCAACCTAGAACCCACCTGAACAGAGCCATAGTATGTAGATCCTTTCTGCTTTTTAAAATGACCTGGCTTCATTTGCCGTGTTTTATTATTCAACTCACAGCTACGTTTTCCATTGCTGTCACCGCGATGAACATTGATCGACTTACAGCTGTTATTTCCCATACATTTTAACTGGCATTCAAACTCGTCCACAACAACAGTGGTCTGGATAACATGACCTACCAAGTCATGATCTGAAAGGCAAAAAAACGTTCTTTCTAGTAACTACTCGCCATGGAAAGAGAGTATAAGAATCGGTTTTTTCTCTTTTTTTTGGATTTTTTTTTTTTAAGTATTTACTCACCGACTCGAGTTTCAACAATGCTTCCACAAAAGTCTTTGTTTGCCCGGACAAACAATATTCCCAAGAGGATGTTAAAAATTGGCCGTTTTATCTTGTCGAGATGGAGCTCCTTAGTTTTCTTGTTGCGTATCAGCTTTCTTATATTTGCCTTCCTCTGTACGTCAGCAGAGCTTCATTGACTCACAATTGAATTATTTATTATCTATAATTCAAGATTCTTTTTTATTTATTGCTTTATTGCTGAGTAGGGCCTCTCCTTATTGGATAACAATTTTAATTAGATGTAAACATCATTTATAATTCAAAGCTCTTTTTCAGTTAAGTTTAGTCCTTTAATTGCTTTTGAGGCCTTATTTTCCCTCTTTTTAAAAAAGCAGTTTATCTTTTTTCAAAAAATGAAATTGCAATTTTGTTATGTTTTTCATTTTTCTTTTTTGAAGGAGTTAGCACACTTTTCGAAATCTTCACATAATCTGCATTTATATCTGTCTCCCTTAAAGCGCCTATGACACGAATCTATTTAAAATACAGTTATCAGCCAGAAAATGCAAAAACAAATTTCGTGTCATAGGCACTTTAATTCGTCTTAATTTGTTTTCCTGCACAAGTAGGGCCCCTCCTTATCGGATGACAATTTTAATTAAATATAAACATCATTTATAACTCAAAGCTCTTTTTCAGTTAAGTCTTAATCCTTTAATTGCTTTTGAGGGCTTATTTTATCTCTTAAGGGTTTTATTTTTCATAAAATAAAATTGCGAGCTGTGTTATGTTTTTCCTTTTTCTTTTTTGAAAGAGTTAGCGAACTTCTCAAAATTTTTACAACCTTTCGAAAGCAACCTTAATGGTAGTCTCCCTCGCAGCCGTTTTTTGGATGTCACGCAACGTTCCCCCAAAACAACGAACTTTGCGTGACATCCAAAAAACGGCTGCGAGGAAGACTACCTTACTGGTTCAAATGGTCCAAAGTATTTGATTGGCTAACGAGCGAACAGCTGTCAATCGCAAAGTGGACCTTACCTATAATGTCAATTTTAATTGGCTTTTGGAGTGGGAACCCATCAATTTAAAGTTCGTTTTTAATTAATTTAAAAATTAAGAAACTTAATGTCTCTTGTCCGGTGGCATGGAATCCAGCCAAGTTGTGGCTCACGAAGACGTGCACTTTTTCGGTAAACAATTACGAAACAAAGAGCTAAACACTTCCCGATGAAAAATGCAGCAAGATTGACCGAACTTGTGACAAGTGGGAAGATCTGAAAGCTGCCTTCCTGATTAGAGGAAATGTTAGAGCGACCTTCCAAACTTCCCAAGTTTATCCATAACTCGATATACGCACAGCTAAAAGCATGAGCAAATTCTTTTATAACAGAGCGACAACAAGAATCTGCGCGAAGAACCCTTTTATTGTGATAGAGTGCAAAATTCTCACAACGCACAAAAAATAATAAAAACAAACGTCTCTATTGGCTGGTCAAAAACATGCCACATTTATACTTTGGTTTGAGCGAGAACTTTTGATCCAGTTAACTGATAACAATTGAAAAGCTCAAAATTTACGGGGAAAATGGAGAAAATGAAAGCCAAATGAACTCAAGTGTCACTAAAAAATGTTTTAAAAGTCAAAGACCCGAAGTTATCAAGACAAATTTGCGAAACGTGCAACTTGCGAGTTTTTTTCGGCTTTATTTTTGTTGCTTGTTGGATCAGGACCTAAAAGGTCAATGCCGATAGAAAAATTGGGTAGTTCTTCGGTGGTTTCTTCCATATTTCAAAGAGAAGGAAAACTGCACTGCAGCTTCACAGGGCGGAAACTCTGAAGCCAGGTAAAAAAAATTGCTCACGTCATCTTATTTACGCACGGGCGTGCGTAAATAAAGATTTTGTTCCTAGCGGCTCAATAAGACTTAGAGAGGGAAAGCACGCGCACTATGTTATAAATTATATTCGCAACAAAACATCTCATCCCTGATTGGTCAATGATCGATACAAAATGTGTTATAGTATGCCGATTTATTGTTATAACAGCAAAACCAACAAAGAGTGCGGGCTGCATATAAAGTACACGCCCCTGAAAACTTGAGTGACGTGCTTCAGGTGTGTATTGCGATTCTTCCTATCCATAATAACACAGAAAGTTGAGAAATAAAGTCTAAGATATGCAGAAAATACCAATTCCCAAGAGAGGCCCGACGGTTTCTGAGAATACAACAATAGTGCCTTTAGATACGCTGTTACTAAGATATTACATTAAAGTTTTGTTTTGCCAAGTTGTTAAGATGATGAGTTGATTCAAAGATCTTTAAAATTAACTCGTTTATCAGAAGCTGACTTGTACATTAGATTTGAGGAGGTCACCAATTACGGATAAAGAACGGATTTTCGACAGGGGCAAAAATCTTAAGTTAAAAGTTCAAGATGCTCTAATCTTAACGTATCTTCGTTTGCTCCTTCAACGCCAGTTACGGGGTTTCCACTAAAGAGTCGCAAAGCGTTGCATTAATTAACGGACATAGATCTTCCAAAAGTCGCCGCGTGTCAAATCTTTCCGACTGTCATCACATTCCCATCTGTCATGGCCTGGCCACGTGACCCAATGATGGTGATCCTTAATGAATGCTGAGTATATATACAGCTCCTTATGCCCTTCATGTCCCCATTTTCCAACATGATACGCGCCGTTTTCCCTCCCCCATTCTGCGCATCTACTTGCAAGGACTGAGTTGTCTCCCTTCAGTTTTTCGAATGAACCACAGGCTTTGGGAAAAACTTCGGTATCACCGCCGAAAAACCCAACTACAGCTTCACCAGAGCTGTTCGCGGCCGTTTTGACATGAAACGTTCGTCCATGTTGCTGTTTACGGCAGTGGAATCTCAGCTGAGTGAAAGATATGCGGGATCTCAGCTCTCGCATACCGTCAGGAGAGAGAACCATTCTGTTGCTGCTGTAACGACTGACTCCTGCATATGTCTTTTCAATGGTCAAGCTGGTCGGGGGCACAGTTCCCTCGGCAATAACGTTATAGATCAAGAGCCAGCCTCCTGCCAGAAATTAAAAAGGAAAATGTGAATCGCATTTCTTGAGGAACCGACGAACAGCTCTTCTATGACCCTCTCTTGTTCTTACAATAAAAGATGGGCTACTTCTAGTTATGCCTTTGCGCCACGGCGCAAAGGTATTGTCTCCTTCTCTACCTACCGGCCTTATCTATTTAAAGAAGACAAGATGGTAGAATGGTTTTGTTCGCTTGTTATGACCTCAGTGGCTCCAGATTGAAACCCTGCTTTGACCACGAGCTGGAGTTTTTCTCTGTATTTCAGCTCGTACTACTCTAAAAGAGTCTTTAAAAAAATTCTGCTGGTTGGGCTCCATTTCTCCATTCGACTTATTTCTGCATTTAATTATTTTCATTGTTTTTAGTTTAGTTTTTTATCTCAGGTTCAAACACCACAAAAGTTTGCCTCTGCAGCCTTGCTATTCTATACACAGCCAAAATTACAGAAAAGAGTTATTTAAAGTGCTTACCTCCATCAGTTGTCATGTCACAAAATACTTTTAAAGAACTTCCATTTTTCTCAGAGTTGATCCAGTACTCTCCGTCTCCTTTTGAGACTCCAGCTTCCAAAATGTGCTTGCAGGACAGAGCGGGATGACGGGAAGACCAGCCAGGTACAGCTGCGAATTTAAATATGTTTCACTTTTTAGTGTCATGGTTTAGGGTCAATTGCCAAATAATTTCGCTTTGACGCATGGTTGTGCTAAGTTTTTATCCATTCGGGGCCATCTTGGTCGCGGATGGCTATCCTTGGTGAGCAGAGAAATTTAGATATGAGGGATGTGAGATATTTAGGGCCATTTACTCATGCAGTCAAATGTAAATGTCCTCTTGGTATAGCTGTACCGAATGAGATGTGAATCATGACACACCCGTGTTTGTATTTCTGTCTTTGTTTTGTTTTTCACTTGTAGGTACAATGGAAAAGTGCATGGTAAGGGCTTATGGAAGTTGAAAACATGGAATGTTTCTCACGTGTTAGGCAGCCTTTCCCTTTGTATTCTGGATGACATTTTCCGGAGTTTCTCGCTGCTTTCTCATCGTGGAAAACGTTAATGCAGGAAATCTGTGATGAATAAGATTTGGAACATACTATACGGTCAAATGTAATTATTCATGTGATCCCAATTAAAATTCAACATAATAACGTGAAGCAACGTCGTCAAATATTTGGTGAACAGTTTTATTGATGTTTTTCAAATGTTTTCGAAGTTTTTATGTATTTTGATCACGTTTTTATGTTGAACTAATCAAACATTGCAGCTTTGGTTGCAAACTTCTAATGGTGAATTCCGTTCCCTTTCTCCTTCAAGTTCAAAGCAACTAAATTATTAAAAAGTAAATTTTGCACATTTCTCAGGAACTGAAGTATTTTCACCCCTAAGTTTCAATTGAATTGTATTTTTTTGGTTTACTTGCCGATCATAAACAACTGAGAAACTCTTTCCAAGAATCAGAAGAGAACTTAAGAGTGAGACAAAGAACTTCTGTAAACTTTGTTCAAACTTAACTCTTTGTGGACTCTGCAACGACAGGAATTAAGTTCCATTAGGCACCACTGTTAAATTGATAAGCACGGAAAGTATATAGAAGAAATTCTATTTAACGAGTCTCACTGTTTAACTGCAAAAATTATTCGTCAATTCATTTCCTCGCTCGAAATAAATATCGATGACAAGGTAAGCAATAAACATGAAGAAATCGTATTTTGCCTTTCGAACTTTATTGAAAAAGTTAAAACAAACAAGCAAAAAAACAAACAAATATATATTTCCAGTAGTCAAAGAGTGAAAACTCGACTTCGTGTAACGGGAGTTGCTAAGATCGCCGATTAATGAATTCAAGTATTAACCAAGAAAACGTAATTTAAAGGAATTCATGCAAACAACTGAACTTACCTGCACCAAACCGTAGTAAGTAGATCCTCTTCTCTTTTTGAAATCAGCTGCTTTCATCAGTCGAGTTTTGTTGTTCAGCTCACAAATAACATTGTTCTCTTCCAGGTAAACGTTACACGATTTACAGCGGCTTTCATTCTCAATACATTTTTGCTGGCATTCAAATTCGTTTTTGACAACACTCTTTTCCATAACATTACCAACAAAAATATGATCTAGGAGTTATGAGTATATGAAAATCTTTTAAGAACCGGTGAATATCGCTACTGCCCTATTTATGATTGTCTGACAAATGCAAATCGAAAGAAAAAAAGAAATAATAGTTTCTACGGGTTTTTGTTTTTTTTACTTACCAACTTGGGTTTCGAAGACACGTCCGCATAAGTCAGAGTTTGCCATCACAGATAAAATCAGGCAGGAGATGATAAGAATTGTAAAGGCCAACTGAATCGGACCCATATTAGCCATTGACTGATAAAAACTTCCCTTGAACTATTGTCGTAACTCAATCAAAACTCTTTCAACAGCAGCTTTTACAAAAGAGAGATTTCAATGTTTGTACAGAGGGGCGGTGGTTGCACCGAACGAGATTATATTTTGCGCATGAACTCTGCCTTTTGAATTCTTTCCACAACCTTGTATTGTTTTTTAGTTGGTTTTCTCACGATTGATGAAATAAACAAAGCTTCCTAATAATTTACGTACCGCATAATAGTTTTATAGTTTACATCCCAATGGTAAATTAAGCTCAAAGTTAATTACAATGGAACTGAAAGCAACTAAAAAACTTAAAAAAAAAGTTTCTTTTATATCGATTTAGTTATCACCCACTTGGCGCAAACAAAGGAGATTCAATCACCCACCAGGAATTTTTTTAAAAATATTTTTGTGCATTATTGTCAGTGTTGTGTTTTTTCTTAAACCCTAACAACAATTTCATAACAATTTTTATTTTCTTACTATCATCGTTAAGACTAGCCAGGCGAGGGGGCTATGAATATAACTGCCAACACCTGCTCTTAGTGATAATAAAATATATTTCCTTTTCCATATGTCATCATACCCTAAAAATTTTGAATTTCTTTTGGTTTCTTTTCAAACGTCATTCCATGAAGATGAGTGTGATTCACTCTTATCTTCATTTATTAGTCCGCAGTTACGTTCACAGTCATTCAAACCTCATTCCTTTGATCCTTAGATCCTCAAATTTTCTCAAAGCTGTAAAAAAGGAAATATTGCCTCATTGCAATCACTATTCAGCTTCAATGACAATTAATTCAATGTTGATATGAATAAAATTTGAAAACATTCGGGAAAATTGTATTTTCGTTGTTTTAATCAGCTGGGATTTTTAGTCTCGCTTTGTGTCATGCAATTGGAACTGAATCTATTTAAGATATTCTCACTGATTTCCACGGCCTCATCAACCTGATGTGCTTTGAATACTGTTGATGATAACAAATCATTATTTTTTCATTATTTACGGATTTTTTCCCAGTGCTCTTTGTTTAAGTTTTGGAACAATCTACAGCATTACTTCTCAGTTTGGGTTCTTTTTCAATTCTCCAAGAGTTGATAACATTCGTACGTTCTCTTCTTCATTTGATTGGATGACAAAACTCGAAAGCGGAACGACTCTCTACAGGAGACTTTGCACTTTAAAGCCAAATTAATTTGCTGATACAATATAGTACATCAAGATAATGAATAAAGTTACCCAAAAGATTTACAAGTTACAACCTTCAGTACTAGGAGAACATTGCAATGTCCAACTTTCAGTACCCGCAAAACATTGCCAACTTTAAGAACTTGCGCCTGAATTAACGTAATGAAGTCTTCCTCTAATCGACAATATTTTGAAAGATAATTTACTATTTAACATGCAGCAACTTCTTACATCGTAGTACTGAATGCTAGCGTCTCAAAAGTAAATAGAAAATGTTCTAGAAGGCAGAAGTGACAGCAAAGTTATCAAAGGACATAAATTCTCCAGAAGTCACCAGATGCAGCAATTTTCTCCAAAGTATTATCACATTGCCATATGTTAGAACCTGGCCAAGTAATCCAATGATGGCTACCCACAATGAATTCTGAGTATAAAGACAGCTCCTTTTGCCCTTCATGTCCCCATTTTCCAACACGATACGCGCCCTTTTCCATCCCCCATTCTACGCATTGCAAGGACTGAGCCCCTTTAAGTTTCTCAAATGAATCACAGGCTTTGGGAAAAACGTCGGTATAACCGCCAAAAAATCCGACTACAACTCCACCAGAAGCGTTAGCGGCTGCTTTGACGTGAAAAGTTCGTCCATGTTTCCGTTTACAGCAGTGGAGTCTCGGCTGATAGATAAGCGAGATTGTTCTCAGTTCTCGCATACCGCGCGTCAGGTGAAAGAACCAGCTTGGTGTGGTTGTAACGACTGATACCATTGTATGACATCTCAACATCCAAACTGATCGGGGAGGCGACTGATTTATTATAACTTTATACATCGGAAGCCAACTTCTTAGCAATAAAAAAGGAAGAAAATATTTTAAAAAGATGTAAATAAAGTAGCAGGATTCCTCCTTTTTCTAAAAAGTATATATATATTGCATTCACAGCGCGCAGTGGTCATACAAGTAAACCATATCGTTACGGCAACCATGGCGACTGAGGATATCACCTGAGCCTCTTCAATATTTTTTGGTGTTATGATTGGTACCTTAGATGCCCTTTGTTTGGCTTTTAGATGTCTGCCATCGTATGATCGGAGCGTGGTATTAAACAGCGCGAAACAACATTACCTCGTAAAAGGAAAAAGACAGAAATAACCCTAGTAGCCAGAGGAGTATTATGTTCGTGATTTAAAGCAGGACGTCTGTTTGTTTGTTAAGCAATGCTAAAAGAAAAGTCGTATTACGAGCCAGCAGAGCCTTTCTAGCTACAGTATATCCTGGTTTAAGAGGCATAAGGCGATTGGGAGTATGGCTACTCTCCCTCCCCACCCTCTCTCACTCCAGTCCATCTGAACCTACAAAGAAGTTACCTCTGTCTACTCCTGGGTAGAGAGAGGCACTGTGTAAAGTGTCGAGTGTGTGGGAGCCTACTTTTGTAGAAGATTGAGGTGCTTGTGAAAAGAACAAGGGTTAGGTTTTTCTTCAGGTTATTTCAAAGCTTATAATGGACAATGTTTGAGTCTTAGTTGAGACGACTGACACATTTTAGTTTGAATTTCTTCTAAGGAATCCCACAAATGATCTCCTTGTGAACCTAGCAGCAGACATCCTGTAGGCAGCCTTCATGGCTGCAAAAGTGTTTATCACCTTGACTGTTTCCCATTCACAAGGAACTATTGGTTCATTTTTGTGCAAATTTCTAACAGATGGAATTATTGCATGGGTCGGTGGAGTCTCTTCCGTGATCAATCTGGTTGTTATTGCCTTCGAATGATTATACGCGATTGTCTATCCATCTGGCGACAAAGGAATTTCATCAAAGATAATCTAAAGGTATGACTTTCTGTGTTTGATTTTAACTCGATAGGTGGGCGCGCTTCATTCATTACGAGCTCTGTCTTTCAGGTGATCATGTCTTCCTCTTGGGTGTGTTCGTTTATTTTCAATATACCACTGCTCCTTTTTTCTGGTGTTGATGAGGAAAGTGGCAATTCCTACATGGCGCTCTAGCCTCAGTTGTGGATGTCAAAGGCTTATTCGCGGTTGATTTTGGTTTTTTTGTCTCTGTTACCTATGGTTGGTATGTATTCCAGAGTCGTGTACACCCCTTGGTGGAATCGCAGTGATGCCCGGGACAACCTGACTCTGCAGAAGCTAATAAGTTTTGATCTTTGAAGAGTAAAAGAGGTGGATAGTGTCTTATTTCAAGTTAGTCCATATAAGGAAGAAAAAAATTGAAAACAAATTTTCATTCTTTCCTTTTTTTTTGATTTGACACAAGATGAAAAAATTTTTATGGCGTTTCACTCAATCTAGCATTACATAAAAAAACAGCAAGTCACCGGCTGAATTAAAAGTCGATAAAATCACATGGTGACAAGAACTCTTCAATTTTCAATTTGCAGGGTTTGATTAAGGTGCAGAAGTGAGTCACGTTGATGGTAATCATTGTCTGTGCTATCTTTGGAATCTATTTGCTCACAAATGAACTTTTCTTTACCCTCAAGTATGTCGCGTCCTACGACATCGGACCCTTCCCTTCAATATCACTATTACGATGATCTTGTTTAATTCTGCTGTCAATCCGTTTGCTCATGCTCTGTTAAACCAGCAGTTCAGAGAGAAGATGAATATAGTAATATGCTTACTCGTACTGTTGTAGTTACGCCTCATCCTGCTTGTCACGGAGATGAATCTTTGCAACCTGTCCAAAACACCAGCCGGCGAATGCAATTCAGCGGCCACATTTAAGGCATGCGCGAATGAGTCAATCTTGGCTGACCGTGCGCCCATTTCTCGTGTAAAATTTTATTAGGAAAACATAAGTAACGACCATTGTGACCTAAAATTCCCTTCCTAGAAAACTGTGTAAGGAAATGGAAATAGGGAACTGGGAAACTCAAGACTTCGCACGCAAAGGTTATTTGCTTACAGTGTGTCCAGTTGTTTGAAATTCATAAAAGTTATAAGCTTTTAAGACACTGTGACTCATTGAGAGATAACTTGATCCTGGCAGCGTTAAAGAAAAACCATGGGCTATTACAACGTCTGTACATGCGCAGAAATTAGACCGCTTCAAAAAGTGAAAGTAAACGTACTCCTATTTGCAACGCGCTAAATTTCTTATTTAAAACATGAATTATGATCACGAAAGCAAACAAACATTGATCGCACACTTTTAGTGATGCTATTTATATTTCTACTCGCTAAAATATTTGAACTTCACATAAAACAGTTTTCAATCCATGTGTCGAAAAACCAAAGCCAAAATAATCACAACTACCGATCAGAACAAATGTTAATATCATAATTATCCAATGGGACCACAAAATAAAAATTGGCAACTTATTTTAAGCGTAGGAAAACGCGCGTGGCATTGGTTTTAGCTTTGTACTTGATTCGTTGAGATAGCGGCTCGAGTTTCCAGATCAAAAGCAATCCAGCCGCAGGGTCACTTTCGTTACTCAATTGAAACTTTCTCTCACTTTGAACGCGTGTATTGTCACTAATACCTAGCTCTCTGTTGATTTATTGTTTCCTTTCACCCGCTAAAGACGGAAACAAATCCACATTTCGCCTTTTTGGCTCAGACTGATAGGATAATATAACCGAAGCTTTTGGAATCATTGTATTGTGTGGTTCCACTGAAAACAAAAGACATCCTCGCTACCAAGAAACTTTCCCTTTAATCGAGGAGAAATTACAAACCTAGGTGTCCTGGAAATGGAGACAGTCCCCATTTACCCACTAAAATTTGTTATGTGAAGCAAAATTGATGTCTTTTAATTTTTGTGATACCTCAGCTGTTTAAGTAATTTCAATTATCAATCTCGAATAACCAAGTTATGTAAGGGGAGACTTCTTGGAAACTCAATGAAAATAAAATTTGTAAATGAAAAAATGAAAAGAAACAGCTTCCTCTAATTCTCTAGCCAACAGAGCAGGCGTAATATTGGGAACGAGTGCTCAGTGTCTTCTCAGAAAAAATCATAGCTGCCATCTTTAATTTTCACAGAAACAAAAAGCTGGGACGAGAAATAAATCACACCAAGGGGGTGAGCAACGGTCAAAAGTAAGGAGAGGGGAGGGAGGGGGCAATTGGAAAAAAATAATTTTCTTTCAAATTGATCCAAATCCCGCCATACGTGACCATGTGGGGAAGTCCTAAAAATAGTTCATTACTGTTGATTTACACCTTCGCTTTCAATGCCTTAATAATAATGTTTGAGTAAAAATGAAAACAAAAATGGAAACTGTCAGCTAAGTATCGTGTTTATTCCCAAGTCTAAGGATCCGCAGGAAAAAAATTAAAACAAAGCAAAACACAAATAACAACAAGATAAGCAAATCGTTCCTGGTGGAGGTAACCATGAATGAACTGAACTATTGTTTTCATGATCACAAGGCTAAAAGAGAATCATACACAGCACTATAATCTGTGATCGATACAAAATGTGTTATAGTATGCCGACTTATTGTTATAATAGTAAAACACGCAAAGAGTGCGGGCTGCATAAAGTCCATGCCCCTGACAACTTGAATGACGTGCTTCAGGTGTATATTGCGATTCTTCCCATCCATAACAATACATATAAGTTTAGAAATAGTGTTTAAGACATCCAACAAATACCAATTCCCGAGAGAGGGAGAATACAACAAAGGTGCCTTTAGATACGCTGTTACTTAGATATTACATTAACTTTTTTTTTTCCAAAGTGTTAAGTGGATAAGTTGATTTAAAGATCTTTAAAATTAACTCGGTTATTAAAAGATGAGTTGTATCTTCAATATGAGGAGGTTGCTATTCATGGAAAAAGAACAAATTTTCGACAGGCGCAAAAATCTTAAGCTAAAAGGTTCATGACGCTGTAATCTACGTCAGTGGCGGGAGTTTTCACTAAAGAGTCGGAAAGCGTTACATTAATTAACGGACATAAATATTCCAAAAGTCGCCGCGTGACAGATCGTTCGCCGAGTCATCGCATTGCCAGCGGTTTTTGCCAGGCAACGTGCTCCAATGATGATAACGCCAAATGAATGCTGAGTATATATACAGCTCCTTATGCCCTTCATGTCCCCATTTTCCAACATGATACGCGCCGTTTTCCCTCCCCCATTCTACGCATCTACTTGCAAGGACTGAGTTGTCTCCTTTAAGTTTCTCAAATGAGCCACAGGCTTTGGGAAAAACGATGGTATCACCAGCAAAGAACCTGGCTACAGCTTCACCAGAGCTGTTCGCGACCGTTTTGACATGAAACGTTCGTCCATGTTGCTGTTTACCGCAGTGGAATCTCAGCTGAGTGAAAGATATGCGGGATCTCAGCTCTCGCATACCGTCAGGGGAGAGAACCATTCTATTGCTGCTGTAACGACTGACTCCTGCATATGTGTTTTCAATATTCAAATTGCTTGGGGGCACAGTTCCCCCAGCAATTACGTTATAGATTAGGAGCCAGCCTCCTGCCAAACATTAAGAAAGAAAATGTGAATCGCATTTCTTGGCAGAACGGAAAGAGCTCCTCGATGAACCTCTGTTGTTCTTACAATAAAAAAATGAGCAACTTCTAGTTATGCCTTTGCGCCACGGCACAAAGGTATTTTCTCTCCCTTTACCTACCGGCCTTATCTATTTAAAGAAGACAAGATAGTAGAATGGTTTTGTTCGCTTGTTATCACCTCAGTGGCTCCAGATTGAAACCCTGCTTTCACCACAAGCCGGAGTTTTTCGCTGTATTTCAGCTCGTACTACTCTAAAAAATCCTACTGGTTTGGCAGCCTTTCGAAACTTTCATATAAAGTGCGGGCCATACCTTAACTCCTCCCCTAAAACAGATGTTTTCGTTTGTCCTCGTTTGTCAGTAGCATTCTTTGAACGTTTTTGCTGCATTTAATCATTTTGCAATGGTTTTTTTTTTCTCAGGTTCATACACCACAAAGGTCTGTTCTATGCACAGCCAATATTGCAGAAACGAGTTATTTACAGTGCTTACCTCCATCAGTTGTCATGTCACAAAATACTTTTAAGGAACTTCCATTTTTCTCAGGGTCGATCCAGTACTCTCCGTCTCCTTTAGAGTCCCCAGCTTCCAAAATGTGCTTGCATGACAAAGCAGGATGACGGGAAGACCAGCCAGGTATAGCTGGGAATTTAAATATGTTTTATTTTTTAGTGTCATGGTTCAGGGTCAATTGCCAAATAATTTCGAATGTCCTTACGGGAATAACCAGGCTGATTGTAATATAAGTCTCTGGTAGCTGAAAAGGAAATGAGCTTTGATCTTGATGGGTTTATTAATCTTCACACACCAGCTAAGACGCTGGAAAAAGGGGATAAAGCTATGTGCAAACTTGAACATGACTTTCTGCATTTATCTTCAGAAATGGGTTTTAAAAGGAGTCCCCAATTGAAAATTTCCACCACCCTCATTGCAATTAATAGTCATGTATTTCGTTTGGCAACGTCTAAAGTACAACTTTTTTAGAACAGTCTCACCACCTACCTGTTTCACAATGTTTTCCTTTGTATCCTGGATGACACTGGCCGCTTTTAGTTGTTTGTTTTCGCCCACGAGAAACATCCATGCAGGAGGCCTGAGCCTGATTAGTAAAACAGAAACGTGAACTTTTTGCTTCCCGTTCTGTTGTTGTTCAGAGTAAACAAAGCTTTTTTTTCTCGTTTTCAGTATTCAGACGCTCAATGTGCGTTTTCAAAAAGGAAATTTGACGTTACCCTCACACTCCTGACAACACTCAGAACACGCTATACAAGCAGGAAAGAAACCTTTTGGTTCGCAGGTTATTGCAAAACGGGAATTGCAAAATGATGAAGATAGTTAAGACTCGCTTGGAGAAACGTTTGCCCGAGATTTTAACTGTCTGGTGTTCTGTTTACGAAGTAAACGCCTACTTGTATGCCAATAACAATTGATTCTATCAGTTTTCATTAGTCTACAGCAGTAGTTCCGAAACATTGTTCTTGGCAGTGAATAAGATAGGAAAGTTATCAACAAACCTGCTCAACCCAGAACCCACCTGAACAGAGCTATAGTATGTAGATCCTTTCTTCTTTTTAAAATGACCTGGCTTTATCTGCCGTGTTTTATTATTTAACTCACATCTACGTTTTCCATTGCTGTCACCGGGATGAACATTGATAGACTTACAGCTGTTATTTCCCATACATTTTAACTGGCATTCAAATTCGTCCGCAACAACATTTGTCTGGATAACATGACCCACCAAGGCATGGTCTGAAAGGAAAAATACGTTCCTTGTAGTTCTCAGCTAAAGAAAGAGAGTATAAGAATGGTTTTTTTCATTTTTTTGTTTTGGTTTTTCATTTTAAGTATTTACTCACCGACTTGAGTTTCAAAAACGCTTCCACAAAAGTCTTTGTTTGCCAGGACAAACAGGATTCCCAAAAGGATGTTAAGAGTAACAATCATAAACTGGGTAAGCCATAAAACAGCCATACTAAACTTGGCCGTTTTTATCTTTCCCAGGTGGAGCTCCTTAGTGATCTTATTGCATATCAGCTTTGTGATATTTGCCTTCCTCTTTAGGTAAGCAGAGCGTCATAGACTCACAATTGAAATACTTATTATCTATGATTCATGATTCCTTTTTATTCATCACTTTATTGCTCTTCAGTTTGCATGAAAATTTCTTTTGTTCGTCGCAGTAATAGAAAAGTTTGTTTCCACTTTTATCATTATCACTGATATTATAATTCGCCAAATCAACAGAGTGACTTTTGTTTTGGGGAATTTCCAATTAACGGGTCGACTTTGCTCACGAGAAACATCTACACAGGAAGTCTGACATAATTAAAACAAAGTAAAAGAAAATTGATTCTTTCACTTTGCTTTTATTAACATGGCATCGAGAAGACAAAAACTTATCCATTTCATCCTTTGAGTAACTTTTTTTCTCTTAATTAAGTAACAAGTGGATTACATCCATTTAGCTCTGATCACCTTACATCGCGTAAAAGTAACGAATAGCCGTTCAAAATCATATCCTCTTTTTAAACTAAAGAACTATTGAGAACGTTGATACAGATGTCGTAAAGCACGCTACAATAAGCCAATATAAATCCTTGTTATAATGGTCCAAATAATCAGATTGGTTGACAAGACTAAAGCTGTCAAAAATGTCAAACCATCCCAGTTCACAACCATCAAAGTTCACAATCTGCAATAGTTTAAAAAAAACTCAAATAGTTGGGCAGGTCGAATATACTACTTTTGCCTGAAGTTTTTCTCTAATGTTAGTCTGAAGTTAGTCTCTAATACAGAAACTGAAAATGAAATGTTCAATAAAATCCGGCCAAATTGTGGCTCATAAAAATACGCAAGCTTTTTTACATAACAATCAGAGAACAAACTGCTCAAGGCGTGTGTTTTATGAATGAACGATAGCCAAATTCACAGCAACATGAAGATTGCTTGGAGTGACAGCGCCGTCAAACTCGGCTGCTGTGACTGCTGTGGCTACCCACTCAATGCATCGGAAAGGATATCAGAGCAAGCTCTTAGTTGTTTACTCGAAGGGCGGGCGATGTAATTTCTGAGGCTTTCTTCACTACGATTACCGTAAATCGCCATGGTGAGTTAGCCGCGATGGACCTCAGCACGATCGCAGTTGCTCTGAAACCTTCCTTATTAGCATGAAATTTAACAGTTGTGCCAGTTTGGCTATATTTTTCATCATTCCTGTTTTGTTTTGAACACAAAACTCTATATACTATACCAGTGTTAACTGTGTTTGATTTTTATTATCGTACATAAGCTTGCAATCTAACTGAGTAAGAAAACCTTAAAAACTCGGTCTGTTTAGTTTTCGTCTCTGTTTGCGTTGTAATAACGTAAATTACGGCGCTTGGCATGTTTACAAACCTTTGTTTGGTTCTTCGGTTGCTACTTGCCGGCTCGTTTGTTCCGAAATTTCACTTTCAATTAACGAAAACAAGCAAGAGAGAAGTCCGCCAAATGGTCAGACATAATACAATTTGGCAGATGGCGTGACAGCTTTAGCTCAGCTCTGTACTCTGGAAGAGCACGCTTTTTCAACCAATGACAGCACGCTCTTTTTCAGTTAATTTTTTAGTCTTTTTTAATGCTTGTGAGGGCTTGTTTTCCTCTCCTTTTTATAAAAAGCGTTTTTTTTTTCATTAAAAAAAAATTGCAAGCCTAGTCATGTTTTTTTTTCTTTTTTGAAGGAGTTAGCAAACTTCTCCAAATTTTCACAACATTTCGAAAGCAACCTTGATGGTTCGAATGTTCCGAAGTATTTGATTGGCTAATGAGAGAACAGTTGTCAATCATAAAGTAAACTTTACCACCATGTCAATTCCAATTGGCTTTTGGAGTGGAGACCCATCAAGTTCGTATTATAACTGAATTAAAAAATTAACAAAACTCCATTTCTCTTGTCCGCTGGTATGAAATCCAGCCAAGTTGTGACTCACGAAAACGTGCACTTCTTCGGAAAACAATTACGAAACAAAGAGCCAAAAACTTGCGGATGAAAAATGCAGCAAGATCGATCGAACTTGTGACAGGTGGGAAGATCTGAAAGCTGCCTTTCTGATTGGAGGGAATGTTAGAGCGACCTTTCAGTTGATAACTCGTTAAAAATTCAACTTGACAACATACGAATATAATCCATAATCCAAAATATCATTATGTGTGATATATTGGCTTATTTTTTGTATGTTCAAACACCTGTGAAAACATGCATTTCGGGAAAGAAATATATATAACAAGTTTTATTTGTTCACATCAGATGGTTATTACCAGGCTAAGCCAGACAACTGACAAATAATTTTGCACATTTTTATACAATAAATATTCACATACAATTACAACATGTAGACATTAATCTTCCTTGCTTACAAACATCTAGGTATTAGGATAATATGTAAAGAGGAAAACTACAGACTAAACATAATTACAATTAATAATTAATCTTCATCTTATTAATTAGAGTATCTATGTCGACATAGGAGTTTTCAGTTTCTAGAATTTCGATTAATTTTGTTCGAAGTAGAAAATGTTGGGAGAATCCTCTGCTGTTCAACAAAGGTACCCTACCTGACATCCATTGTTCTATTGTAGTGACGATAGAAACAATAAGCATCAAAGCATATAATTCCTTTTTAAATTGATCCAAATCCCGCCATACGTTAGCATGTGGGGAAGTCCTAAAAATAGTTCATTATTGTTGATTCATACCTTCGCTTTCAATGCCATAATAATAATGTGTGAGTAAAAATGAAAACAAAAATGGAAACTGTCAGCTAAGTTTCGTGTTTATTCCCAAGTCTAAGGATCCGCTTTCAGAGGAAAAAAAAACCAAACAAATTAAAACAAAGCAAAAGATAAATAACCACAAGATAAGCTAATCCTTCCTGATGGAGGTAACTATGAATAAACTGAACTATTGTTTTCATGATCACAAGGCTAAAAGAGAATCATACAGTCTGTTGAGCTTAAATTTACTCCAGAAATGGCAACTGCAATAAGTGCTCTAAATTCCAGCTCCTTTCCACTCATGTATACCTAATGTTTCTTGCTTTTTGCATAATTCATCGTATACTTCTTGGCGTTAACTTATCTGCTATGAACAATGTTCTCTATAAGACATGTAAGAATACATCTATTTACAATAAAAAAAAAGATTGAATGATCTTATCAGGAGTCGTATGGAAGGTTATTGGACTGATAAATTGTTATATTATACTCACAACAAAACATCTTATCCCTGATTGGTCAATAACCGGTATAAATTGTGTTATAGTATGCCGAATTACTGTTACAGCAAAACAAACAAAGAGTATGGGCTGCATAAAGTTCACGCACCTGACAACTTGAGTGACGTGCTTCAGGTGTATATTGCGATTCTTCCCATTGATAACAATACATACATAACAAGTGGAGAAATAATGTTTATGGCATGCAAAAAAACCCAATTCCCGAGAGAGGCCCGACGGTTTCTGAGAATACAACAATAGTGCCTTTAGATACGCTGTTACTTAGATATTACATTTAAGTTTTGTTTTGCCCAGGTGTTAAGAGGCTAAATTGTTTAAAAGATGTTTAAAATTAACTCTTTTATCAGAAGATGACTTGTAAATTAAATATGAGGAGGTCACCATTTACGGATAAAGACCAAATTTTTGACAGGTGCAAAAATCTTAAGCTAAAAGTTCATGATGCTGTAACCTTAACGCATCTTCATTTGCTGCTTCAACGTTAGTTATGGGAGTTTCCATTGAAGAGTCGCAAAGCGTTGCATTAACTAGCGGACATAAATCTTCCAAAAGTCGCCGCCCGACAAATTGTTCGCCATGTCATCACATTGCCATCTGTTATTGCCTGGCCACGTGATCCAATGATGGTAATACTTGATAAATGCTGAGAACATATACAGCTCCTTATGCCCTTCATGTCCCCATTTTCCAACATGATACACGCCATTTTCCATCCCCCATTCTGCACATCTACTTGCAAGGACTGAATTATCTCCCTTGAGTTTTTCAAATGAACCACAGGCTTTGGGAAAAACGTCGGTATCACCGGCAAAGAACCTGGCTACAGCTTCACCAGAGCTGTTCGCGGCCGTTTTGACATGAAACGTTCGTCCATGTTGCTCTTTACGGCAGTGGAATCTCAGCTGAGTGAAAGATATGCGGGATCTCAGCTCTCGCATACCGTCAGGAGATAAAACCAATCTGTTGTTTCTGTAACGACTGACTCCTGTATATGTCTTTTCAATGGTCAAGTTGGTGGGGGGCACAGTTCCTCCAGCAATAACGTTATAGATTAGGAGCCAGCCTCCTGCCAGAAATTAAAAAAGAAAACGTGAATCGCATTTCTTGGGAGACCGGAAACAGCTCTTCCATTACCCTCCGTTGTTCTTACAAAAAATGGGTTACTTCTAGTTATTGTCTCTTTCTCTACCTACCGGCCTTATCTATTTAAAGAAGACAAGATGGTTGAATGGTTTTGTTTGCTTGTTATTACCTCAGTGGCTCCAGATTGAAAAACTGCTCGGACCACAAGTTGGAGTTTTTCTATGTATTTCAGCTCGTGCTTCTCTGAATGAGTTTTAAAAAATCGTGCTGGTTTTGCAGCCTTTTGGAACTTTCACTTAAAATGTGGGCCACACCTTAAAGTACTCCCCTAAAATAGATATTTTAGTTTGTCTGTAGCATTCTTTGAATGTTTTTTCTGTATTTGATTATTTTGCAGTGTGTTTTTTTTCTTTCTCACGTTCAAAAAGCACAAAGGTTTGCCTCTGAAACTTTGCTGTTCCATACACAGCCAAAATTGCAGAAACGAGTTATTAACAGTGCTTACCTCCATCAGTTGTCATGTCGCAAAATACTTTTAAGGAACTTCCATTTTTGTCAGGGTTGATCCAGTACTCTCCGTCTTTTTGAAAGAAACCTGAGTCCCGGATGTCCTTACAGGAATGACCAGGCTGATTGAAGTATAAGCCTCTGGTAGCTGAAAAGGAAATAAGCTTTGATCTTGATGGGTCTATTAATCTTCACACAACGGTTAAGACGCTGAAAAAAGGGAAAAAAGCTATATGCAAACTTCAACATGACTGTCTGCATTTATCTTCAGGAAAGGGTTTTAAAAGGAGTCCCCAATTGAAAATTTACACTACCCTCATTGCACTTCAAAATCCTGTATTTTTTTTGGCAACGTTTAAAGTAGAACGTTCTAGAACAGTCTCACCACTTACGTGTTGCACAATGTTTTCCTTTGTATCTTGGATGACACTGGCCGCTTTCATTTGTTTGTTTTCGCCCGCGAGAAACATCCATGCAGGAGGCCTGATTAGAAAAACAGAAAGGTGAACTTTTCTCCTCTATGTCTGCCATCGATCGTTGTTCAGAGTAAACAAAACTTGTTTTCTCGTTATCAGTATTCAGAGGCTTAATGTGCGTTTTCAAAAAGGAAATTTGACGTTACCCTTACACTCCTGTCAACACTCAGAGCACGCTATACAAGTAAAAAAAGAAACCTTTTGGTTCGCAGGTTGTTGCAAAACAGGTTGAATTGCAAAAAAAAAATGATGATAGTTAAGACTCGCTTGGAGAAACGTTTGCCCGAAATTTTTAACTGCCTGGTGTACCGTTTACGAAGTGAACGCCTACTTGTAACTCAATAACAATTGATTATCTCAGTTTTCATAACTATACAGCAAAAGTTCCGAAACATAGTTCTTGGCAGTGAACAAGATAGGAAAGTTATCAACAAACCTGCTTAACCCAGAACCCACCTGAACAGAGCTGTAGTGTGTAGATCCTTGCTTTTTTTTAAAATGACCTGGCTTCATATGTCATGTTTTATTATTCAACTCACAGCTACGTTTTCCATTGCTGTCACCGGGATGAACATTGATCGATTTACAGCTGTTATTTCCCATACATTTTAACTGGCATTCAAACTCGTCCACAACAACAGTCGTCTGAATAACATGACCCACCAAGGCATGGTCTGAAAGGAAAAAAACGTTCTTTCTAGTAACTACTAGCTATGGAAAGAGAGTACAAGAATCGGTTTTTACTCTTTTTTTGTTGTTGTTGTTTTTGGAGTATTTACTCACCGACTCGAGTTTCAACAATGCTTCCACAAAAGTCTTTGTTTGCCAGGACAAACAGGATTCCCCAAAGGATGTTGAGAGTAAAAGTGGCAAACTGGATCAGCCATAAAACAGCCATGCTAAAAATGGCCGTTTTATCTGTCTCAAATGGAGCTCCTTAGTTTTCTTGTTGTATGTCAGCTTTCTTATTTTGCCTTCCTCTGTAAGCAGAGTGTCATTGACTCACAATTGAAATACTTCTTATCTATAATTCATGATTCCTTTTTATTCATCGCTTGAATTGCTCTCCAGTTTGCATGAAAATTTCTTTTGTTCGTCGCAGTAAGAGAAAAGTTTGTTTTTACTTTTATCATTATCACTGATATTATAATTCGCCAAATCAACAGAGTGACTTTTGTTTTGGGAGGTTTCCAATTACTGGACCGACTTTGCTCACGAAAAACATCCACACAGGGAGCCTGACATAATTAATACAAATAAAAGAAAATTGACTTTTTCAATTTTTTTTCTTAACATGGCATCGTGAGGACAAAAACTTATCCATTTCATCCATTGGTTAACTTTTTTTCTCTTAATTAAGAAAGTTTTTTTATAATCACGAATAGTCGTTCTAAATAATATACTCCTTTTAAACTAAAGAACTATTGAGAACGTTAATAGAGATGCCGAGAACATACCAAAAACGTAATTAACCTGAGACTGAAGCGCACCTAATAATTTGCATCAGGCTACAAACTTTTTGTGAACAGGTGACATAACCAACTCGTGCTTCAACACATTATCTTTGCAGAAACGTAACGGATACATATATAAGACACCTTAAAACGTTACGACCGTCCAATTAACATTTTTTTTGTCATTCTCAACTCTCGGATCGATAAATGGAAAAAACCGGTAAAGTTCCGAATTTCTCTGCCTTGTAACCCATAAAATCAACAAGATCGTTTTATGCTCAATAAGAAAGACGAAATGAAGACCCCTCATTTTTGCTTCGCCTTTAGCAGCCAAATTAGTAAAAGCTATATTTTTTTAGCTCTCAAGAACTAAAATTGCTCTCTGCTTCGCTTCGAGTAACTCTTACGCTTTTCTTGAGAATGCACCTGTTTAATCATAATTTTAAACAAATAGAGTCAAGCCTTGACTGTGCTCTGTTATGTTGTAAATCACGCAGGAAGCGGCGAGAGCACGAAAGAAGTGGGGAGATAGGAAGATTCACAGTGGAAAACTGGATCAACTATAAAACAGTCATTCTACTTTATTTCTGTATTATCGCTCTTCTTATCCATGAGGAACTTCTTCACTTGATAAACAAAATCTGCATTTAAATCAGTCTCCCTTACAGCGCCTGTGACACGATTTTTTTTGGCGTAAATCACATGTACAAACCAATTACGATAGAAGAAAAGTTTCAATAAACTTTAAACTCGACGACATTGAGGAGTAAAATCTCCTTGATGATGTCGACGTTCGAAACGCGTCCATTTTGGCCATACAGCTACATTCTTTGGAAAGTAGTGTAAAGAAATACCCGGTATATGTGTATTATTCTTGCAGCTAGCATCATTTGGCGCTCCGGCCACGGAGCCAGATCTTAAACATACAAAGATTTCTCCTTTCTCCACCATGCATAGTTGCCGACGTGTCTTGACAGTTTTCTTTGTCACAGCTATATTACATGATCGTTTTGGCTGCGCGCATAATGGAGACACTTTTTGGCCGCCAAATAGTACTTTCAATGCACAAAAAATGGTTAAGAAGAACTCGCTAGGCGCTAAGGTCTATTATTTCTAAATTTAAATACAGCTATCAACCAGAAAATTCTAAAGCAAATTTCATGTCATAGGCACTTTAATTCTTCCTAATTTGTTTTCCTGTACAAGTAGGGCCCCTCCTTAAGTTTTAGTCCTTTAATTGCTTTTGATTTAATTTAATTGCTCTCTTTTTTGAAAAAAAGGTGTTTTCTTTTTTCATAAAATAGAACTGAGAGATTTGTTGTGTTTTTCCTTTTTCTTTTTTGAAAGAGTTAGCACACTTTTCGAAATTTGCACAACATTTCGAAAGCAACCTTAATGGTTCGAAAGGTCCAAAGTATTTGATTGGCTAACTAGAGAACAGCTGTCAACCACAAAGTGAACCTTACCTATAATATAAATTTTAATTGGTTTTTGGAATGGAGACCCATCAATTTACAGTTCGTTTTTTAATCAATTTAAAAATAAAGAAACTTCATGTCTTTTCTTCAATGGCATGGAATCCAGCCAATATGTGGCTCACGAAAACGTGCACTTTTTTTGGTTAACAATTACGAAAAAAAGAGCCAAAAACTTGCGGATGAAAAATGCAGTAAGATTGACCGAACTTGCGACAAGTGGAAAGATCTGAAACCCGATTAGAGTAAATTTTAGAGCGACCTAAAGGTTGATAACTCGTTAAAAATTCAACTTGACAACATACAAATATAATCCATAATTTATGACCATGGTAAAAACTCCATTAGGTATGATATATTGGCTTATTTGTGGTAGGCTCAAACATCCGTGAAAACATGCATTTCGAAGTAGAAAATGTAGGGAAAATCTTGTGCTCCTGAAAAAAGGTATCCTACCTCACAACCATTGTTCTAGTGTAGTGACGATGGAAACAATAAGCATCAATAAGCATCAAAGCACACAGATTTAAATTGATCCAAATCCCGCCATACGTAAGCACGTGGGGAAGTCCCAAAAATAGTTCATTATTGTTGATTTGAAAACAAAAATGGAAACAGTCAGCTATATTTCGTGTTTATTCCCAAGTCTAAGGATCCACTCTCAGAGCTGAAAAAAAAACAAACAAATGAAAACAAAGCAAAAAATAAATAACAACAAGATAAGCTAATCCTTCCTGATGGAGGTAACTATGAATGAACTGAACTATTGGTTTCATAACGACAGAGCTCAAAGATAATCATACATAGTACTAAATTGAGCTTAAAGTTACTTTGGAAAATAGCAACTGCAATAAGTGCTCTAAATTCCAGCTCCTTTCCACTCATGTGTCCCTAACGTTTCTAGCTTTTTCTATACTTCATTGTGTTCTTCTTGGCTTTAAATTATCTGAAAAAACCGCAATGAAGAACAACAATTTCTATAAGACATATAGGAATACACCTATTTACAATAAAATAGGAGTCGCACGAAAGGGTAATTTGACTGATAACGTGTTATTTTATATCCACAACGAAACATCATATCCCTGATTGGTCAATGATCAATACAAAATGTGTTATAGTATGCCGACTCATTTGTTATAACAGCTAAACCAGCAAAGAGTGCGTTCTGCATAAAGTACACGCCCCTGACAACTTGAGTGACGTGCTTCAGGTGTATATTGCGATTCTTCCTATCCATAACAATACACACAAGTTGAGATATAATATTTAAGACGTGCAACAAATACCAATTTCCGAGAGAGGCCCGACGGTTTCTGAGAATACAACAATAGTGCCTTTAGATACGCCGTTACTAAGATATTACATTAAAGTTTTGTTTTGCCAAGTTGTTAAGATGATGAGTTGATTCAAAGATCTTTAAAATTAGCAGAAGCTGACTTGTACATTAGATTTGAGGAGGTCACCAATTACGGATAAAGAAAGGATTTTCGACAGACGCAAAAATCTTGAGCTAAGAGTTCAAGATGCTCTAATCTTAACGTATCTTCGTTTGCTCCTTCAACGCCAGTTACGGGGTTTCCACTAAAGAGTCGCAAAGCGTTACATTAATTAACGGACATAGATCTTCCAAAAGTCGCCGCGTGTCAAATCGTTTCGACTGTCATCACATTCCCATCTGTGATGGACTGGCGAAGTGACCCAATTATGGTGATCCTTAATGAATGCTGAGAATATATACAGCTCCGTATGCCCTTCATGTCCCCATTTTCCAACATGATACGCGCCGTTTTCCCTCCCCCATTCTGCGCATCTACTTGCAAGGACTGAGTTGTCTCCCTTGAGTTTTTCGAATGAACCACAGGCTTTGGGAAAAACGTCGGTATCACCGCCGAAAAACCTAACTACAGCTTCACCAGAGCCGTTCGCGGCCGTATTGACATGAAACGTTCGTCCATGTTGCTGTTTACGGCAGTGGAATCTCAGCTGAGTGAAAGATACGCGGGATCTCAGCTCTCGCATACCGTCAGGAGAGAGAACCATTCTATTGCTGCTGTAACGACTGACTCCTGCATATGTCTTTTCAATGGTCAAGCTGGTCGGGGGCACAGTTCCTCCAGCAATAATATTATAGATCAGGAGCCAGCCTCCTGCCAGAAATTAAAAAAGAAAATGAGAATCACATTTCTTGGGAGACCGCCAACATCTCTTACATGACCCTCTGTTGTTCTTACAATAAAAAGGTGGGCTGCTTCGAGTTATGCCATTGCACCACGGCGCAAAGGTATGGTCTCTCCCCCTACCGGCCTTATCTACTTAGAGAAGACAAGATAGCAGAATAGTTTTGTTGGCTTGTTATTACCTCAGTGGCTCCAGATTGAAACCCTGCTTCGACCACAAGCTGGAGTTTTTCTCTGTATTTCAGTTCGTACTACTCTGCAAGTGTTTGGCTCCAGCCTTTTGAAACTTTCACTTGAAATGCGGGCCTCACCTTAAACTCCTCCCCTAACGCAAATGTTTTCGTTTGTCCACGTTTTTCAGTAGCATTCTTTGAATGTTTTTTTCTGTATTTAATTATTTTGCAGTATGTTTTGTTTTTTTTTTTCCTCGGGCGCAAACACCCCGACGGTTTGCCCCTGCAGCGTTGCTCTTCTATATACGGCCAATATTGCAGAAAAGAGTTATTTACAGTGCTTACCTCCATCAGTTGTCATGTCACAAAATACTTTTAAAGAACTTCCATTTTTCTCAGGGTCGATCCAGTACTCTCCGTCTCCTTTAGAGTCCCCAGCTTCCAAAATCTGCTTGCAGGACAGAGCAGGATGACGGGAAGACCAGCCAGGTACAGCTGCGAAATTAAATATGTACTATTCTTTAATGTCGTGGTTTAGGGTCAATAACAAATAATTTCGGATGTCCTTACAGGAATTACCATGCTGATTGAAATATAAGCCTCTGGTAGCTGAAAAGGAAATGAGCTTTGATCTTGATGGGTTTATTAATCCTCACACACCAGTTAAGACGCTGAAAAAAGGGAAAAAAGCTATGCGCAAACTTGCACATGGCTGTCCGCATTTATCTTCAGAAATGGGTTTTAAAAGGAGTCTTCAATTGAAAATTTACACTATCCTCATAGCACTTAATAGTCATGTATTTCGTTTAACAGCGTCTAAAGTAGAACTTTTCTAGAACAGTCTCACCACTTACGTGTTTCACAATGTTTTCCTTTGTATTCCGGATGACACTGGCCGCTTTTAGTTGTTTGTTTTCGCCCGCGAGAAACATCCAAGCAGGAGGCCTGAATAGTAAACAGAAAGGTGAACTTTTTTCTTCACGTTCTGCCATCGATCGTTGTTCAGAGTAAACAAACCTTGTTTTCTCGTTATCAGTATTCAGACGCTTAATGTGCGTTTTCAAAAAAAACGTTGCCCTTACACTAATGTCAACACTCAGAACACGCTATACAAGCAGAAAGGAAACCTTTTGGTTCTTGCGTTGTTGCAAAACGGGAATTGCAAAATGATGAAGATAGCTAAGACTCGCTTGGAGAAAAGTTTGCCCGAGATTTTTAACTGTTTGGTGTTCTGTTTACGAAGTGAACGCCTATTTATAAGCCAATAACAATTGATTCTCCCAGTTTTCATTAGTGTATAGCAGTAGTTCCGAAACATTGTTCTTGGCAGTGAATTACTTAGGAAAGTTATCAACAAACCTGCTCAACCTAGAACCCACCTGAACAGAGCTATAGTATGTAGATCCTTTCTTCTTTTTAAAACGACCTGGCTTTATGTGCCGTGTTTTGTTATTCAACTCACAGCTATGTTTTCCATTGCCTTCACCGCGATGAACATTGATCGACTTACAGCTGTTACTTCCCATACATTTTAACTGGCATTCAAACTCGTCCACAACAACAGTGGTCTGGATAACATGACCTACCAAGGCATGGTCTGAAAGGCAAAAAAGCGTTCTTTGTAGTTACTAGCTAAAGAAAGAGAGTATAAGAATTTTTTTTTCTTTTTTTTTGTTTTGTTTTTTTTTTTTGAAGTATTTACTCACCGACTTGAGTTTCAGAAACGCTTCCACAAAAGTCTTTTTTTGCCAGGACAAACAGGATTCTCAAAAGGATGTAAAGAGCAACAATCGTAAACTGAGTTAGCCACAAAACAGCCATACTAAAATTGGCCGTTTTATCTTTCCCAGGTGGAGCTCCTTAGTGATCTTATTGCATATCAGCTTTCTTATTTTGCCTTCCTCTGTAAGCAGAGCGTCATTGACTGACAATTGAAATACTTATTATCTATAATTCATGATTCCTTTTTATTCATCGCTTTACTAAAGCAATGATTGCTCTTCAGTTTGCATGAAAATTTCTTTTGTTCGTCACAGTACTAGAAAAGTTTGTTTCTATTTTTATCACTATCATTGATATTATAATTCGCCAAATCAACAGAGTGACTTTTGTTTTGGGGAATTTCCAATTAACGGGTCGACTTACGAGAAACATCTACGCAGGAAGCCTGACATAATTAAAACAAAGTAAAAGAAAATTGATTCTTTCACTTTGCTTTTATTAACATGGCATCGAGAAGCTTTTTTTGAGTAACTTTTTTTCTCTTAATTAAATAACAAGTGGATTACATCTATTTAGCTCTGATCACCTTATATCACTTAAAAGTAACGAATAGCCGTTCAAAATCATACACTACTGAGAACGTCGATACAGATGCCGAGAACATACCAAAAACGTAATTATCCTGAGAGTTAAAGATGAAGCGTACCTAATAATTTGCATTAGACTGCAAACTTTTCGTGAACAGGTGACATTACCAACTCGTGCCTCAATACATAATCTTTGCAGAAAAGGAACGGATACATATGACATACCTTTAAACGCTACGTATGTACGAATTAAGTTCCGAATTTCTCTGCCTTGTAACCTATAAAATTAACAAGATCGTTTTATGCTCAACGAGAAAGACGAAATGAAGACCCCCCATATTTGCTTCGCCTTTAGCAGCCAAATTAGTTAGAGCTGTATTTTTTTAGCACTCAAGAACTAAAACTGTTCTCGGCTTCGCCTCGAGCAACTCTTACGCTTTTCTCGGGAATGCATCTGTTTAATCATAAATAACAAATAGAGAAGCCTTGACTGTGCTCTCTTATGTTGTAGATCACGCAGGAGCGGCCAAAGCACGAAAGAAGCAGGAAGAAAGAATACTTAAAATTCCCCACAAGTTATTTTCAATTTCCAAAAGTAGGGAGAAAGACTCCTTAAAATTTCCCACACACTACTTTCAATTTTCAAAAGTAGAGAGAAAGAATCCTTAAAACTTCCCACACATTACTTTCAATTTTCAAAACAAAATTAATTGTCAAAGCGAACAACAGTGTCGTCATCATGCTCCGTGCTGTCAGAAAGCTCCCTACAATCCAATAGGAATCCTTAATTGTTATAATGGTTCGAATAATCAGATTGGTTGACGAGACTAAAGCTGCCAAAAAATGTCAAACCCTCCCAGTTCACAACCATCAAAGTTCACAATCTGCAAAAGTTTACAAACTGAAATAGTTGGGCAGGTCGAATTTACCATTTTTGCCTGAAGTATTCTCTAATGTTAGTCTGAAGTTAGTCTCTAATGCAGAATCTGAAACTGAAATGTTCGGTGAAATCCGGCCAAATTGTCAGAGAACAAACTGCTCAAGGCGTGTGTTCTATGAATGAACGACAGCCGAATTCACAGGAACATGAAGATTGTTTGGAATGACAGCGCCGCACAACTCGGCTGCTGTGACTGATGTGGCCATCCACTCAATTCATCGGAAAGGATATCAGAGCAAGCTCTTAGTTGTTTACTCGAAGGGCGGGCGATGTAATTTCTGAGGCTTTCTTCACTACGTTTACCGGAGATCGTCATGATGGTCTAACCGTGATGGACCTCAGCATGATCCCAGTCGCTCTGACACCTTCATGATTAGTATGAAATTTAACAGTTGTGCCCGTTTGGCTATATTTTTCATCATTCCTGTTTTTCATTTTGTTTTGAACACAAAACTTTATATACTATTCCAGTGTTAACTGTGTTTGATTTTTATTACCATACATAGGCTTGCAATCTAACTGAGTAAGAAAACCTTCAAAACTTGGTCTGTTCATTTTTCGTCTCTGTTTGCGTTGCAATAACGTAAATTACGGCGTTTGGCATGCTTACAAACCTTTGTTTGGTTCTTCGGTTGCTACTTGCCAGCTCGTTTGTTCCGAAATTTCACTTTCAATTAACGAAAACAAGCAAGAGAGAAGTCCGAGAAATGGTCGCACATAATGCAATTTGGCAGATGGCGTGACAGCTTTAGCTCAGCTCTGTACTCTGGAAGAGCACGCTCTTTCAACAAATGACAGTGCGCTCTTTTTCAGTTAATTTTATGGTCTTTTTTAATGCTTTTGAGGGCTTGTTTTCCTCTCCTTTTTAGAAAAGCGTTTGTTTTCTTTTTTCCATAAGCAAAATTGCGAGCCTAGTTATGTTTTTTTTCTTTTTTGAAGGAGTTAACAAACTTCTCAAAATTTTCGCAACATTTCGAAAGCAACCTTAATGGTTCGAATGGTCCAAAGTATTTGATTGGCTAATGAGAGAACAGCTGTCAATCACAAAGTGAACCTTACCCATCATGTCAATTTCAATTGGCTTTTGGAGTGGAGACCCATCAAGTTCGTTTTATAATTGAATTTAAAAAATTAACAAAACTTCATTTCTCTTGTCCGGTGGCATGGAATTCAGCCAAGTTGTGGCTCACGAAGACGTGCACTTTTTCGGTAAACAATTACGAAACAAAAGGCTAAAAACTTGCGGATGGAAAATTGCAGTAAGATTGACCGAACTTGTGACAGGTGGGAAGATCTGAAAGCTGCCTTTCTGATTGGAGGAAATGTTATAGCGACTTTTCAGTTGATAAGTGGTTAAAAATTCAACTTGACAACATATGAATATAATCCCTAATCCAATATATCATTATATATGATATATTGGCTTATTCGTTGTAGGTTCAAACACACGTGAAAACATGCATTTCGAAGTAAAATATGTCGGGAGAATCTTGTGCTCTTGAACCTCACAGCCATTGTTCTCGTGTAGTGACGATGGAAACAATAAGCATCAAAGCGCACAATCAATTCCCGCCATACGTTACCATGTGGGGAAGTCCTAAGAATAGTTCATTATTGTTGATTTAAACTTCCGCTTTCAATGCCATAATAATAATGTGTGAGTAAAAATGAAAACAAAAATTGAAACTGTCAGCTAAGTTTCGTGTTTATTCCCAAGTCTAAGGTTCCGCTTTCAGAGGAAAAAATTAACAAACAAAGTTGAAAATAAATATCAACACGATAAACACATCCCTCTAGATGGAGGTAAATATGAATGAACTGAACTATTGGTTTCATGATCACAAGGCTAAAAGAGAATCATACACAGCACTACAATCTGTTGAGCTTAAATTTACTTCGGAAAATGGCAACTGCAATAAGTGCTCTAAATTCCAGCTCCTTTCCACTCATGTGTAACTAACGTTTCTTGCTTTTTCAATACTTCATTATGTACTTCTTGGCTTTGATTTATCTGAAAATCCGCGATGAACAGCAACATTTTCTACGAGACATGTAGGAATATTCCTATTTACAATAAAAAAAAGATTGAATGATCTTATCAGGAGTCGCATGGAAGGGTAATTTGACTGATAAATTGTTATTTAATACTAACAACGAAACGCCTCAACCCTGATTGGTCAATGATTGATACAAAATGTGTTATAGGATGCCGACTTATTGTTATAACAGCAAAACGAACAAAGAGTGCGGGCATATAAAGTACACGCCTCTGACAACTCGAGTAACGTGCTTCAGGTGTGTGTTGCGATTCTTCCTAGCCATAATAATACATACAACTTGAGAAATAATGTGTAAGACATGCAAAAAAATACCAATTCCTAAGAGAGGCCCGACGGTTTCTGAGAATACAACAATGGTGCCTTTTGATACGCTGTTACTAAGATATTACATTAAAGTTTTGTTTTGCCAAGTTGTAAAGATAATGAGTTGATTCAAAGACCTTAAAATTAACTCGTTTATCAGAAGATGACTTGCACATTAGATTTGAGGAGGTCACCAATTACGGATAAAGAGCGGATTTTCGACAAGCGCTAAGAGTTCAAGATGCTCTAATCTTAATGTATCTTCGTTTGCTCCTTCAACGCCAGTTACGGGGTTTCCACTAAAGAGTCGCAAAGTGTTGCATTAATTAACGGATATAAATCATACAAAAGTCGCCACGCGTCAAATCGTTCCGATTGTCATCACATTCCCATCTGTCATGGCCTGGCCACGTGACCCAATGATGGTGATCCCTAATGAATGCTGAGTATATATACAGCTCTTTATACCCTTCATGTCCCCATTTTCCAACATGATACGCGCCGTTTTCCTTCCCCCATTCTGCGCATCTACTTGCAAGGACTGAGTTGTCTCCCTTGAGTTTTTTCAAATGAACCACAGCCTTTGGGAATAACGTCAGTATCACTGGCAAATAAACCCGACAACAGTTTCACCAGAGCTGTTCGCGGCCGTTTTGACATGAAACGTTCGTCCATGTTGCTGTTTACGGCAGTGGAATCTCAGCTGAGTGAAAGATATGCGGGATCTCAGCTCTCGCATACCGTCAGGAGAGAGAACCATTCTATTGCTGCTGTAACGACTGACTCCTGCATATGTCTTTTCAATGGTCAAGTTGGTCGAGGGCACGGTTCCCCCAGCAATAACGTTATAGATCAAGAGCCAGCCTCCTGCCAGAAATTAAAAAAGAAAATGTGAATCGCATTTCTTAGGGGACCGGAAACAGCTTTTCTATGACCCACTCTTGTTCCTACATTAAAAAAATGGGCTACTTCTAGTTATGCCTTTGCGCCACGGCGCAAAGGTATTGTCTCCTTCTCTACCTACCGGCCTTATCTATATAAAGAAGACGAGATGGTAGAATGATTTTATTCGCTTGTTATGACCTCAGTGGCTCCAGATTGAAACCCTGCCTTGCCACGAGCTGGAGTTTTTCCTCTGTATTTCAGCTCATACTACTCTTAAAGAGTCTCAAAAAAATCTTGCTGGTTTGGCTCCATTTCTCCATTCGACTTATTTCTGCATTTAATTATTTTTATTATGTTTTGTTTAGTTTTTTATCT